GAGTATACTGTGTTCAAGTTAAAAGACTTTTTAGAAATACATTCTTGATGTTTTTGGGTTATTTATATTGAGTGATTAGTGACAGAAGGTACAAGAGTCAATAAAGTAGTATATGCACAAACCAAAGTGATAATAAGAACAGAAGATCCCAAAGTTTCTAATCTCACGAAATATCTGAATCTCTCCATAGCTACAGAAGAATTTAAAAGAAAAATGCTAAAATTAAAGAGCTTCATCATTCATCTGCAAAGGACTCTCCATGCTCCAAGCATTAAGAATCTCTATGTCAACAGTTTGTGTTATCGTTAAACACATACAAATGTTCATTCTCTTTCACTGCTTTCACTGGGTACACTCTTGACGTTATTACTGTCTTCCCTAAAGCTCCAAAGCTCTCAACTACCGAGTGATCAATCTGTGATTATACATCCGTGCTGACCTCAGATTGATCACTCGGTAGTTGAGAGCTTTGGAGCTCTAGGGAAGACAGTGATAACGTCTAGAGTCTATCCGGTGAAAGCAACAAAAGAAAATTCACATTTGAATACTCCAAATTAGAAGACATGGTAGAAACCTTTGTAATATACGGGACCTGTTTTTGAATACTCCAAATTATATTTTATGGTACAAAATCAATAACGATGCATAATATTGAAAAATTACAAACAACAACAATTTTTTTGATAGACTCACCATTTGGATCTGTTGCAATTGTCGAGAATAATGCCACGTGAAACACACATGAAAACAAAGGGCAACGAGGTTAGTTTATTTAGATTTCATCATGATTAGATTTTAGTTGTGAGGAAAACAAGATAAGATAAAGAGAATTCGCGAAACAAAAAAAATGATACAGAGAATTCGTGAAACAAAAAGAAAATCACATGAAAGTCTATGGTAGAACAAGTTGAAGACGAAATTAATAAAAGACGAATAAAGAGGATAAAGTGTAACCAAATAAAGATTTACACAAGTAAGGTATCTTTGTATTTATTACTCGATCACGATCGTTCTCTTCTCAACATAAATATTGACCAATTATCTTTGCAATTTTTTTTTATAGTATATGTAATAGCGTCCAAGCTCGTTACGAAGTAAGAAAAATTACCAAGAACAAGGGAAATGACACAATGACATAATTAATTACCGATTTATCTATAAAAATTTTCATATTCAAAACTATATATCTATGGAAGCAATGATTTTGGGGTCTATGTAGGTCTAACAAATAATTTATTAAAATGCGTGAAAAGATTTAGTTATTTTTATTTAAGTTGTATACAAGAAGGGTACATTTAGAATTATATTGATCCTATTGGATAGTGAAAATATAATAGATTTTGACAAGCTTAAAACTTACTACCTTCATTTTTTACCAAAAAGGAAAAAACTAACTACGTTTCTTTTCCACTCTCAGACAAAAAAAATTCCTTTTGGCAAAAAATATATATAAGCATAGCTGTGTTCTCACATTATATATGCTGTGTTTCTATTGGTTCATATGTAAAGTTCTAAGCTATAACTTTAATATAAAGTTTTTTTTTTCATGCGCACATACATATACATGCAGAGAGGTTTGAATAAGCTGTACCAAAAGAAGAAAAAATACTCCATGCAGAAATTAAAAGAGAGATCAGATCAATGTACCGTTAATCCAGTGCTTTGGAGGTTGAAAGTGAAATCCAGGTCTATGAAGATGATTCACTGATTGAGATTGCAACTTTTCGTAAATTTGATGAAAAGCAACAATAATGCATTTGATATTATGATTGCTTAAATTGATTAATACAAGCAATAATAAAACAGAAACAATATTTGAAACACCCATTGATCCAAAGACTAAGGGAACTGAGTGATGTTTGTTATTTTTTGTTTTTGGGTGTGAGTAATAGTTATAACTTGACGAAGGAGAGAATTTGATGAGTGGATAGTAGTTTGTTCTAATGTTTCTATAGGCGAAGGATCAGGAGAAACTACCATTCTCTTGAACAATCTACTCCCTTTACTTAGTGGTTCAACAACCATATTTAAATCTCTATCTACTTTGTTTCTCTATTTGCTCATATGAGCAACAACATTAAAAACGGAAAACAAAAGCTAGCTAAAGGCCAAATTGCATTAACCATTGACAAAAGTTGATATAAAATTTAGCTAATTTTAAAGTAAACATTGGCAAAACTAGCATGTGTCTGTGTTTTATATATGCTTGTACTAATCAGTTTTATAAAACTTATGGTTTGCTTTACATTTTCTTTCCAGAGTTTGTGTGAGATGGATTATTATTAACTTATGGTTTCTGATTCTTCTGCAGTTGAGGCCAAAGAAGAAGATCAAGTGATCTGCTTTCATCAAAAAACTCATTTTATGTTATATGTGTGTTGTTTAGTTTTTCTTCAATGACAATATCTCTAGTTTTATGTCACAAACTTGTTTCAGTCAATTTTGATGTTCAATGAGTAAAACTGATTTTTGGCTTTTTGATAAATTCCAAAATCTCTGTTATGTTTCTTTGACTTCTAGTTTTGACAGTTGAATCATCATTCTCTTAAATATATTGAAATCAAGTTAAAAGATTTATTAAAACACATTCTTGATTTTTTTTGGCTTTCTAAAGTTATCTTTATTGAGTGATAAGTGACAGAATGGTATAAGAGTCCATAAACAAGTAGTCGACATGCACAAATCAAAGTGGTCACAAGAACAGAAGATCCCAAAGTTTATAATGTCACACAATATCTGAATCTCTCAATAGCTAATGAAGATTAAAAAGAGAAGAAATGCTAAAATTAAAGAGCTCCATCGTTCATTTGCAAAGGACTCTCCATGCTCCAAGCATTAAGACTCTCTACGTTAACAGTTTGTGTTCCATTGTTAAACACATACAAATGTGCATTCTCTTTTACTGCTTTCACTGGATACACTCTTGACGTTATAACTGTCTTTCCCAAAGCTCCAAAACTCTCTACTACCGAGTGATCAATCTGTCATTATACATAATTCCATTTTCTATCAATTATTATAAACAAAAACAAGCAGAAACATCAAATATCTTCTTATATATTGGTTCTATATACGTACCAAACTCCTCATAGAGATCCTTCCATCAGATAGATCAACATCCACGAAACCCGCAAAAGATGGTTTGTACATCCTATCCTTTGGGAGTGGACCCTTGTCTTGCTTTAACGACGAACTACAAGGGAAATTCATGTTTTATTAATGTTAGAAATACCCAAGGAATCAAATGAAAAGCAGATCAAAAATGGAATTTAAGCATAGAGATCATGGAACGTACGGTCTAGCATCGGAGCACATGAGAACCTTAGGCTTATGAGTGGAAGTGTCTTTAAAGACTCTAAAGAAGACAGGAGTGTATTCTTCCAAATCAGGAGTGGCTAATGTTATCAGACCAAAAGGTCCCACACCACCGGTCACATGCGAGCCTTTGATGTTACATAACTCCAACGGTTTAAACGTGAAGCTCGCGTCGAACGTTTCAGCTTTCTCTAGACTTCCGATATAGAACGTTAGTTCAACATCGGCCTGAGCAGGAGTGATCCCTTTGACTTCTAAGCTTTGACCCATCTTGATGTCTTCATTGTTCATTCGGACGTAATTACCTCTTAATGACTCTATTTCTTCAATAGGCCAAAATACTAGTTGCTTCTTGGTTGAATCAAGAAGCACCGTTCTTGGAATTACCTATAGTTTATTAAACAGTTTCATTATAGCAACATAAATATTTGATTACATTATTAATAAAATATTGTGTGTTTGATTACATACCTGTAGACCAGCCCAACCTTTCAACATATCATCTTCAACGGTGTCCGATTCATTGGCCCAACCCCACAAGATTCTTCGGTTCTTTTTGTAGTCAAAGAATGTTTTCGATGCGTAAAAATTACCATAATCGAACCTTAAACCATCCCAACCATCGGGTGAATCACCGTCCGGTACGTACCGGTCTTTCTTAGGATCGTATTTGCCAAGCGTGTAATACTCATACCGAGTTATGTCCAAGCTAACCTTCAACACGTGCTTAGTGTTTGGACCAACATAGTCCAAGTCCAAACCGTTGTTAAAGTCGGTTGAAGAAACCGGGAAGAAATCAGGACATTCCCACATACCGGTTGATTCTTTAGAGTGTACCGGGTGCTTAGCTTTGACCCAATGTTTGAAATCTCGGCTCCTGTATATATAAGCGATTCCTCTATGTTTTCTCTTCGACCCCACAACGGTTCTCCAATGACCGTCTTTCGAAAACCAAGCCGTGGTCGGGTCACGGAACGCAGAACCGTTCATGGTATAGTCCGGCATTGCGATCGGATTATCGTCCGGTTTGATCCATTTTCTTAGGTAAGGGTCCGATGGGTCTTGAGGGATTGCGTAGCTTTGCATCTGAGTTTCATTCTGGTTAAGGCTGGTATAGAGGATAATCGGTCCTTTACCCGGTACAATTGTTATCGAACCGGACCATGTACCTTTGATATCAAACCATTTGGAAGGATAGATGGCCGGTTCAAGAGCCTCCCAATTGACCAAGTCTTTAGAAACGGAATGTGCCCACACAATATTACCCCAAACTGCACCTTTGGGGTTATATTGGTAGAAGAGATGGTAGAAACCTTTGTAATACACTGGACCTGTATTTGAATACCCCAAATTAGATTTTATTGTATAAAACCAATAATGATGCATATAAGGAGCAAAATATTGAGAAATTACTAACAACAACAAAATTCTGATGGACTCACCATTTGGATCTGTTGCAATTGTCGAGAATGCCACGTGAAAACACACGAAAACAAAGGAAAAACGAGGTTAGTTTATTTAGATTTCATGAATATAAATTTAAGTTTTGAGGAAAATACGATAAGATAAAGAGGATTCGCGAAACAAAAAAGAAATCACATGAAAGTGTATGGTAGAACAAGTTGAAGACGAAATTAATAAAAAGGTGAATAAGAGGATAAAGTGTAACAAAATAAGATTTACTCAAGTACGGTATCTTTGTATTTATTACTCGTTCACGATCGTTCTCTCCTAAACATAAATATTGACTAAAACATTTAGTATATGTCAATGGCATCCAAGCTCGTTACGACGTAAGAAAAATGACCAAGAACTATATATCTAGGGTAGGGGTGGAATTATTATCCGAGATTCGAGAATCGATCTGTTATCCGTTCGGAATCGCTCCGAAAATTAGGATATATGGGGAGTCCGGATTCGGATAAGCATAGTAAAATCTAGGATCCGTGAAAAGAGGATCCGGATCCGGATAACAAAATTTTAAGGTCCGGATATCCGGATCCGGACGCATTAAATATATTAAAAACATATATATTATATATCTATTAAGCTAAGTTTATATAAATAACTATATATAAAAATTGATTTTAGTTTTTTTTTATAATAAATAATATTAATAATGAAAAATATCATTTAAAATATTAATTAATAATTTTTAAAAATATATTTTTATTTAACTATTAATTATTTTAATTATTTTTAATTTTAATTTCGGATCCGGATATCCGCAATATCCGTTTTTTTGCCGGATATCCAGAGTCCGGATATCCAGAGGTCCCGATTCCGGATCAGGATAGTTTTTTTCACGGATCCGACGATTCTAGATCCGGATACTTTGAAATTCCAGAATATCCGGATCCGTTCTACCCCTAATTTAGGGTAGGGGTGAATATGGGATTTTTTTTCTTCGTTTTTTTTCGTTTATCAAATCGTTTGTAAAGACGCATGTCAAGATTTAGAAAAAAAAAATACTTTTATCTGTATACAAAAAAAAAAGATTTGGATACATATACTCCCATGCAAATTATAATCTTATCTCCCTACATCTTATGACGTAATTATCAAATTCTTTAGATTATTAAGAATGTAAAATCAGGTGGGAGAAGAATAAATAAAGTTTTTTTTCACAGTCTACATGCAAATCCGTGAACAAACTATTAAATGATACATGAGGTCATTATCAAATGGGAAATTGGCTAAAATAACCTAAAAAAAATATATTTCACTACCTAACTAAATCATCCTCATCTTATGGCTGATATTTCTTTACATCATATTATTTTCATTAGATTGCAAATATATATTTTTTTTTTGTTATTGTTGCAAATTACCCTTATCAAATTCTCTACGTTGTATTGTTTTTTTTAAACAACGAATAGGACTGGAATCGAACCCAGGAAGTTGTATAACATAATCATGCTGTCCAAGCCTAACCATCTACGTTGTATTGTTTCTTCTTAAAAATGGTAG